CCTTTAACCAGCCATTTACCCTGTTTGGGGTTCAGTTTCTTTGTCTGTAAAATAAGGAGGTTGGACTGGATGGTCTTTGGGGTTCTTTCCAGCTGTACATCTATAATCTGACAGTATTGTTGGGAGGGAAGCACTTCATAAATGTATGTTGAAAATGTGGAGCATTGTTGTTATGATTAATTCACTTTTGTGATTTCATCATTGTGGGTACTTATTTTTGCCAAGGCAGATCACAATTCCTCATTGACTTTCTAGATGGTGTTTGAGATCTGCTGTGTTCCCATACTTCATTTCCCTGAAGCTAACCTACTTCAATGAGTTTCTATAAACTTACCTAAGCTTGCCTTCAGATGGCAAGGATATCATTTCTTTGCCAGACCTATCCTTAAAACTTTTGAAATTTGATAGGGTGCCTTCTGTCTTTAGGGTTCTATGGATAGCCCTAAGGGGTTAGAATATGTTTTTTTTCTAGTATTATAGCTCATTAATCCCCACCCTTATGCTCCCTATTGAGTATTGATTGATATTAATTACCTCAACAGACTTCAATAGCTTTTAGAAATGAGAGTTTACTAAGGTAGAATAGTAAACATAGCTGGTGCAGCACATCCCCTCAAACCAAGGACATATTCTCCCACAAGTACATGGAGTTTAGGTGAAAACAGGTACAAGTTTAGAGAGCGTATGTAGTAAAAGGACAACTCACAGGTCCTGGTTGATGGAAGTCTTCTTTCCCACTTCATGGCCTTAACAATAGTGTAGCTTTCTTCTGGGCTTCTGATAGAGGCCTGAAGCAGCCTTTCCTTAATGTGGCTGGTTTGTTCTTAGCTCCTGTTACAGGTATTATCATAGCCAATGTTATTCTAGTGATACCAATTGGAATTCCAAAATCATCCAACTTTTTGAAGTTCAAAAACATCCTCAGTTCAAGGTGGGGGAAGTTATAAAGGCTTTTTTCATCCTTGGACCCAAGCAATTCCTTCGTAGGAACTGAGCTAGACTGTTTTCTTCTCTAGGTTGGCTCACTACTCCAATGCTCAGATTCTGAACTGGCTGGCTATTTTATCAAAGAACAATATGGCATGACTTCAGTCAATCCCAATACACTTGCTATGTAGTATAGTTTTATTTCATCTAATGGCTTTCATTCCTTCCAAAACGATTAAATACTTTTTACATCTAATTTATTGTCTTCAGTTGATTGAAAATATTCTTCCTTGATGAAAGCATTAGCATGTTGTTAGCTACTTTAAGTGAGGTGGAGTGATTAGTTGATTCAATTGTCCTCTCACACTTCCACTGAGAAAAAATTGTCTAGCAAAACCAACTAACCTCTCTGTGGGAATATAGAACACTCTGCATCCACAGGCTCCCACTTCACCAAATAAAAGGTGAATTTCCTTGTCTCTCATTAGGAGCTAAAACTGGTAATTTAGTTCTATAGCATTATGCTCTATTTTCACATCTTTTCATTTAGATAATTTTTTTTTTTGCATTTTTTGGTGAGGTGATTGGGGTTAAGTGAGTTGCCCATGGTCATGTAGCTAGTAAGTGTAAAGTGTCTGAGGCCAGATTTGAACTCTGGTCCTCCTGACTCCAAGGCTGGAGCTCTATCCATTGAGCCATCTAGCTGTCCTTATTATTATTATTATTATTAATAATTATTAAAATTATCTAATTTTATTTCATACATTTACTTCCCTCATTCTGCTTACTTCTCTCTACATGAAATGGAATGTATTACATTACATCAATATTAACATAATAAATAAATCATCAATAATTTATTAAGAAAATTATCAATATATCATTTTGTTAATATGATTGATAAATATCTTAACAAAATATTAATATTATATAAATAAAGTTATATTTCCTTCCTTTCACTCAATCATGCATTTAGTTCTATCATTCTTAATACTTCCATGAACACATCCCTATAAACAATTAGTTTTCTTCCTGTTTTCTTCTTATTCACACCATATCAGTCCTACATAGCCTTAGTACTTATTTAGCACAGCTCAGAGGCCTCTTCAGTCCAAATGTCACCTCAAATGAAAAAAAAATCTGTAAACTGAAGAGATTTGGCTAGCTCTGTTAGGTCCCTTTTAATTCTGACAACTTCTGATTCTATGGAAACCTAAATCCTTTAGTGGGCCATGTCAAGGTCAAGGTCAGCAAATTAAAAAAAAAATGTATGTATTTGTCTTAGGCTTGTCTTGGGGTTCTGAAGAGGCTTAATCAAAATTAAATATGACGTTCTGTATTTTCTCCCCTCACTCTTTCATTGAATATATAGGTCTAAAAAGTTAATCTATACTCTATACCAAAGAGCAGAAACAAAATTTAAAACAAAACAAAACAAACAAAAAACCCTTCTCATTAGTGTTAAGGCTGTTTTCAAAGAAGCTCTTGCCAGAATCCTAGTACCCTCTAAGGAAGTGATGCATTACATATGAGGATTTGTAAGTGTAACAATTACCGTCACATGGAGCATGCTCAGAATTATTTCTTGGGGGTTCTGACGATCACATGCAAGCTTTGAAACTTGTTTCTGGCTATTGCAACAATGCTGAAGAGACGGCATTTTGAGATGACAATTAATCCCCTTACTGGCTTTTGAGCAGAAAGAATTCAATGGCTCAATGGATATTTAAAAGGAAGGATCTCCCGCATTCAAAAGTTTCTTCCCTTTTGCTGAGAATCATGTCCAGAGTGTTTTGAAACGTTTTTTTTTGGGTAGTGGTAAAAATAGAGTGGTCTGCCTTATCTTTGCACTGGCTATCAAACCCATGACTTCGAAGATACTTGTCCTACCTGGCAAGCCTGAGCTTTGGTTTGGGCTGGCTCTTTTTTTGTGTGTGTGGATGTGTGTGCATACTTTTCCCTCACTTTAGGTGAACAAACTCTTCACTATACAGTAACAGCTGCCTAACATTGGAAGTGGTCTTGTGGGTTCTTTCGAATGGTCCAGAGGCCCTGGATCTGTTTAGGTCATAGTTGACTGACAGCAAGGGGAAGCGTCTTCCTCAATTATACCAGTGCTCTTGAAGAACATAACCATCAGCAAGAAGGTTGCTCTATTTTACCATAAGACATTGACCAGGAGTCATTTGGACAGGGCAGAGGCAAGATACAATATAAAATGCTTTATCACCAATCGTGCATACTGAGTTATGTGCTAATCATTTTTAAGTATCAGACTCTCAAGAGAGTGTGATGAAAGTTAAAAGTTGTTATTGAATAGTTTTAAGTTGTTTTATTGAAACATACTTTAAGCACATGTCCATTAGTCTTTATTTTGTGTATAGGAAATAAATCTGTGACTTATACTTGAATTACATTGTATATTGAGTACTTTTCTACGCTAGATGTTAGGCCAAGTATAACTTTTAAATAATTTGGCCCCTAAGCAATGCAGTTGAGGTTTAACTACCTGAAGAGTGTAGAAGAAAGGCGAGCCTAGTGATCATCTAATTAGAGGTCAGATTCCTCCAAATCGGTGTACAAACTGATTGAACACATGGAGCTGGAGCTGGGAGCTGGGAGAAGTTCCTTGGTAGAGAAGTGAGTGGGTGCCATGTTCTAGGCCATAGGTTCTTTTTATTAAATATATTCTTATTTATTTATTTCATTAAATATTTCCCAATCACATGAAAAAAAATTCATTTAAAAGAATGAATTCTGTATTCTTTTTCACTTTCCCCTTCATTCATCAAGAAGACAAGCAATATGACATTGATTATACATAAGAAGTCATGCAAAACATATTTCCATATTATCAGCAATAGTTTCTTAATGTTGAACAAAATCACTCTCGGTGGTTTACGTCTGTTCCCTTTTGCCCACTCACTCAGTCACTACACTAGTTCAGTCCTCACCAATTCTCTCCTTGACTACTGTAACAGATCTTACTACTTCTAATCCCTACAATCTAATCCCTATATCCCCATCCTCCATACAGTTTCATGAATAATAAAGGTGTAGGTTTAATACCCTTAATATATTTCATTCCTCAAAAACCTTCTGGGATTACTTATTGCCTCTAGGATAAAATCCAAACTCTTTAGTTGGACTTGTAACTCTCAATGATCTGGTTCCCACCAACGTTTTCAGTCATATTTTGTTGTATTCTTATTTACGGTCAGTACACAACTACTAGGCATTCCTCAAACTCAATACGCCATCTCTCCTACCTCCACACATTCAGTTCCATCTTCATCTTTATGTCTCAGAGTCCTTACCTTCTTTGGAGACTCAGCTCAAGTGCTACCTTCTCTGAGAAGCCTTCCCAATGCACCTGGTTGTTAGTGCTCTTTCCCTCCTTTCATTCTTCTATATTTATTTGTGTACCTGTTGTGTTTCCCTCTATTCCATCCCCAAAGGAATGTGAGTGCCTAGAGGAAGAGCCTCCTTTTGTTTTTCTTCCCAGAACCTAGTGGAGTGCTTTGCATATGGTATTTAAGAAATATTGGTTGAATTGAATTGAAATGAACTGATGGCATTTTTATGGGTTATTTATTTATATGTAAACCTACATTTGGTTAATGTAAATAGCCAGGGCTACTTTGACTTTGAATAAAGTATACCTAAAGAATGAAACAAAACATCCTTTATGACACTCAAATATAACCCTGTCATCTTCTACCAATGGGTGGTTGGTTGCAGGCTTCTATCTGGGCCGCTAGGTCGTAGCAGTCACAGGACAGTGTGCTATAGAAGGGGAAGAAGAAAGAGACAGTCTCATCTTCTATTTTTGCTTCATTCAATTTGAGAGGTGTTTGTAGGTCCTGCCAAAATGTGATTGTACTTTGTTTAAGTCCCCCTTCCATTCCCACTTCTCCCCACCCCTCCCCCTTGTTGCCTCAATTTCTAATTTAATATGCACTCTTCTTTTCTGCATTCAGGAGGGAATATGTAATGAAAATCTCCATGTTAGTCATCAGCTGTCAACAATGACGAATTTCAATTTTCATCCTAGGTGGCAGATCACACCAGAGAAGGAAATCAGGATGGCACATTGGGATAACAAACATATGACAGGTCTATTTTAATTGTCTTTCTTATTCATGCTTAACTTCTATTATTTCATCCAGAGGGAGAGACAAAAAAGAAGGTACCCTTTTTCATTTGTTGCCAGTAACAAAGGAAGGGGGATAAAGTGTTTGCATACAGAGGAGACCAACCAGGTTCCATCAATTTGTGGATTGGCATTATCAAGGGAATCTTCCTTGCCCCAATAGAGATCAGCTCTTGTATTTTTGAGTGTATTAAAATAGTTTGCATATGTATCAGCTGTCTAGTTATTCCTGCTGATCATCCATAAATTATTCACAATTAAAAGGAATGGGCATTTTTTTTTTTGGTTTTGTTTTCAGAGAGATGAATTTTGACTGCTCCCATAGTGGGAGATAACATTGGTGAATTCCTGTTTTTGTTCCTATTCCTTTCAACAGAGCTGGCTCAGTTTTCCTTTTCATTGCAGCCTGATTGTCAAATCAGTGGTAATCTCTATAGGTATCCGCCATGTAATTTGGTTCTTTTTTCTTTTCTTTCTGAGGCATCTAAATGCTTTTCTTTGAGAAAGATAGGAAGACAAGAGAGAGAAAGAGACACATACACACAGAGACAGAGAGAGAGAGACAGACAGACAGACAGACACACACACACACACAGAGGGGGGGAGATAGAGAGAGAGAGAGAGAGAGAGAGAGAGAGAGAGAGAGAGAGAGGAGAGAGAGAGAGAGAGAATGTGTGTGTGTGTGTGTGTGTGTGTGTGTGTGTGTGTGTGTGTGTATGTTTTAACAAAATATGTTGTAATGGCTTCCATGGCATGCTTTGGGTATATTCATTCCTTGAAGCATCTGCTTTTCTAAAAATGAATCAAATAGGAGGAAACTCTTTCCCTTCACCATAGCTCAGTTGTCATTTAGTTTAACAGACATTTAAAAAGTAAGTATCTAATATGTGCAAGATGCGAGGGATAAAATCAAAATAAAACATAATGAAAGAAAACCTTTCTTGCCAACATTGATAATAAAAATTCATATTTATATGGTGCTTTAAGGTTTGCAAAATGCTTTATAAGTATTACCTCATTTTATTTTTCACAAAAACCCTGGGAAGCATGTACCCTTTTATAGATGAGGAGACTGAGGCATAGAGATGTTAGATGACTTGCCACGGGTCACATAGGCAGTAGTTCTCAGCTCTTCCTGACCCCAAGTCCAGCAATCTAGCCACTGTACCACTTAACTGATAGGTGATATACATAGTTTGTATACAAATAGGTTAATACAAGACATATACAAATAATACAAAGTTATTTCAAGAGGTAGAGAACATGGGGGGCACTTTACAAATATTCTCATTTGATTTTCACATCAACTCTGGGAGGTAGGTGCTATTATTACTCTGATTTAATTAGTCGAGGATATGGAGGTATAGAGAGGTTAAGTGACTTGCCCAAGGTAGCACAGTTAGTAAGTATCTTAGACCAAATTTGAACTCAGGTCTTGATGCCACTGTGCCACCTGGATGATTTTATTTGTCTATGTGTCTGTGCAAGAATCAAACATGAATAAAATTCATCATAACTGGTGCTTTACTTTTTAAAAAAATATGTATTTTTGTTTCATTAAATATTTTCCAATTACATGTAAAAATGTAAATTTTTTTATACTTTTGAGTTTCAAGTTCTTTCCCTCCTTCCTGTTCCTACCTGCTCCTTGAGAAGGCAAGCAATTTGATATAGGTTATACATTTGCTGGCATGTAAAAAATATTTGTCATGTTGTAATAGAAAACACAGACAACTGATGCCACCCCAAAAAAAGTTAAAAAAAGTATGCTTTAGTCTGCATTCAGAGTTCATCAGTTCTCTCACTGGAAGTAGATAGCATTGATCATCATTAAAATGTTGTTGTAGTAGCTGTTATTGGGGAGTCATTTGTCAGTCATATCCTACCTCATTTGGGGTTTTCTTGGAAAAGATATTGGTGTGGTTTGCCATTTCCTTCTCCCGCTCATTTTACAGATGAGAAAACTGAGACAAACAGGATTAAAATGGCTTGGCCAGGGTCACATCTCTAGTATCTGAGGCTAAATTTGAACTCACAAAGATGAGTCTTCCTGACTTCAGCCCTGGCACTCTAAGCATTGTGCCACCTAGCTGCCCTAACATTGCTGTTACTGTATACAATGTTCCCTTCATTCTGCTCACTTCACTTTTCATGACTTCGTGTATGTCTTTCCAGGTTTTTCTGAAACCATACTGCTTGTCATTTCTTATAGCATAATACTATTCCATCTCAGTCGTATGCCACAACTTTTTCAGCCATTCCTCAACTGATAGGCATTCCCTAAATTTCCAGTTCTTTGCCACCACAAAAAACCTGCTATAAATATATTTATACAGACAGTTCATTTTCCCTTTTCTTTGATTTCTTTGGGATACTGATCTAATAGTGGTATTGTCAGGTCATAGTTTTATAACCCTTTTGACATAGTTCCAAATTGTTCTCCAAAATGCTTGGACTAGTTCACAACTCCAACAACAGTATGCTGATGTCCCAATTTTTTTTCACATCCTCTCCAGTATTTGTCATTTTTACTTTCTGTCGTACTATCCCATTTGAAAGGTGCGAGGTGGTCTCTCAGTTGTTTTTATTTGTATTTCTCTAATTAGTAGTGATGATGAGCTTTTTTCCCTTGGTGCGTATTAATAGCTTTGATTTCTTCTTCTAAAAATTGCCTATTCTTATTTTTATAAATTTGTCTCAGTTTTCTAAATATTTGAGAAATGAGGCCTTTATCAGAGAAACTTGCTGTAAATTCCCCCTCCCCCCAGTTTCCTGTTTTCCTTCTAATTTTGGCTGCATTAGTTTTGTTTGTATAAAAGCTTTTTAAATTTCATGTGATCACATTTTACTTCCCATGATCCACACTATATTTCATTTGGTCCTAAACTCTTACCTTATCCATAGATTTGACAGGTACATTTCCCCATACATTCCTAATTTGTTTATGGTAGCACCTTTTATGTCTAAATAACTTATCCATTTTGACCTTATCTTGGTATACATTGTAAGATGTTGGTCTATGCCTAGTTTCTTTCAAACTGTTTTCTACTTGTCCAGGAATTTTTGTCAGATGGTGAGTTCTTACCCCCAAAACTGGGATCTTTGAGGTTATCAACCACTAGATTACTATGATCATTTATTGCTATGTATAGTGTACCTAATCTATATCACTGATCCATCATTCTATTTCCTTTTATGACTTTGTAATATAGTTTAAAATCTGTTACTGCTAGGCCACCTTCCTTCATGTATATATATTTTTTCATCGATTGTCTTGATATTTTTGACTGTTTTTGCTTCCAGATGAATTTTGTTATCATTTTTTTTCTAGCTTTTATAAAACAGTTCTTTGGTAGTTGGATTGGTATGGCACTGAATAAGCAAATAAATAAAGGTGGAATTATCATTTTTATTATATTGACTTTGCCTATTCACGTACAATCACTATTTCTCTGTTGAGATCAATCTTCATGTGAAAAGTGTTTTGTAATTGTGTTCATATAATCCCTGGGTGTGTCTTGGCAGGTAGATACCAAGTATTTTATATTATCTACCATTATTTTGAGAGGAATTTATATTTCTCTTATTGCTGGGTTTTGTTGGCAGTATATAGAAATGCCAATGATTTATGTGGGTTTGTTTTATATTCTGCAACTTTGCTAAAGCTGTTAATTCTTTCAACTAGTTTTTTAGTTGATATAGGATTCTCTAAGTATACTATAATATCATTGACAAAGAGTGATAATTTTGTTTCCTCCTTGCCTTTTTTATTCCTTCAATTTCTTTTTATTGTTTTCTTGCTATAGCTAGCATTTCTAGTACAATATTGAACAATAGTAGTGATAATGGACATCCTTGCTTCAACCTTGATCACACTGGGAAAGCTTCAGAATTATCACCATTACAAATAATGTTTGCTGATGGTTTTAAAAGTTTACTAGTTACCATTTTTTTCATATCTTTAAAAATTTATTTAGTATTTGATTTCTCCAGATAGATACAAAAAAAATTTTTAACATTTGTTTTTCAAAACTTTGAGTTCCAAATTCTCTCCCTTCTTCCTTCCCTGTCTCTCCTCTCTTCCTCATTGAGAAGGAAAGCCATTTGATATAGGTTATAAATGTGTAGTGATGCAAAACATATTTCCACAATAGTCATGTGAAAGAAAACAGACCAAAAAAACCCCCACCACACATAAACCTCAAGAACAGTACAGTTAAAAAGTATGCTTCAATCTGTATTCAGACACTATCAGTTCTTTCTTTGGGGATGGATATCATTTTCATCATAAGTTCTTCAGAATTGTCTTGGATCATTGTATTGCTGAGAATAGCTGTCATTCACAGCTGATCATCTTACAATACTGTTGTTACTTTGTACATTTCACTTTGTATCAGCTCATGTTAGTCTTTTCAGGTTTTTCTGAGAGTATCCTACTCATCATTTCTTATAGCACAATAGTATTTCATCATAGTCACATACAACAATTTGTATAGCCATTCTCCAATTGAGGAGCATCCCCTCAATTTCCAGTTCTATGCCACAAGAAAAGAGCTGCTATAATTATTTTTGTACATATGAGTCCTTTTCCTTTTTTTTTCATCTCTTGGGATACAGACCTAGTAATGGTATTACTAGGTCAAAGGGTATGCATGGTTTTATAGCCCTTTGGGCATAGTTTCGAATTTTCTACAGAATGGTTCAACCAATTCTTCCCTCCACCCTTAATGTCTCATTTTTCCCATGTCCCCTCCAACTTTTGTCATTTTCCTTTTCTTTTCTATTAGCCAATTTAATAGGAATGAGATAGTACATCAGAATTGTTGTAATTTGCATTTCTCCAATCAATAGTGAGTTAGAGCATTTTTTTTCGTATAGCTATAGATAGCTTTGATTACTTCTTGTGAAAACTGTTCATACTTTTGATCACATCAACTAGGGAATGGCTCCTTTATAAATTTGA